TAAAATATGGATGAAATTATTTTTTAATATATGCAATATTGATTTCAAACAAAGATCGTTAAAATATGATTATTTTGGTAGATACAAAAAATAAAATACAAATAAAAAATTTATAATGTTTTAAAAATAAAAGAATACATATTTATAATAATTAAATATATGAAGTAAATAAAAAATGTAATAGCAGTATACGGTAACTTAAAGAATAAATGAAAGCTATAATAGTTTATGGTAATTCTCAGCCTAATAGTCAAAACCAAACCTGAACACGCGTCAATATAAAACACCAATTTATGCCAAATGAGCTTACAAAGCACACACGCCTGTCACTTAGGCTTAACGCATTTCAATGGATCGACGTTGCACTCGATTGAATAAGATGGGACGGGGGCGCTTGATATATTATGATATTCGGTCGTGTTTATATGTTAATTTTAACTTATGTTTGTGATTGAATTTAGACCAATGACATATACGTATTGTTATGGAACTGTTTAGTTATAATGTGGCATAGCATTTGGAAATAGATAAAAATAAAATGAATAAACGACAAAAAAAAAAAATAAAAAAATCAACCAAATGTCGACCGTACAATAAAAGAAAATACATAAATAAATAAAAACAACATTCATTAAATCAATATTGTGTCTTGTCCCAATCCGCCTTAATTAGGGCCAACGTATTTGCAAAACGTGCCGCCAAATAAGGATCAATACTCTCGCATTCTTGCATTCGGTCAAGTGACACAACTTTTAATGATTTAATTGTTGCATTGAAATTTAAATTTAGCTATGGCACTAACATCATGATCCCAAGCGTGATAAAATTGATTCGATTAAATACAAGTCCATTAGAGAATGAAAGTCAACGGCAAGACATTTTCATTAGTACTTCAATTAAACATGAGCTTGAATGCTTTTCCTACTATAATATTAACACGTATCATATAACTCTGAGAAAAGTGTCAAACAATCTTGTCATAAATTCGGTCTAATCATACTGAATATCGATCTCAATGAACTGCTCGAACAGAATCTGACTTTTTCCGTTCAATTTGTTATTTATGAATTTCAAATTTAATTAAGAATATTATTTTGTATTTTAAAATTTATTACGGAGTTAAATAGGAGCAATTTAAGGAAAAAAAAGGGACTACAATTTTTGATAATGTCACTCATTAGTATTTTGTTAGAGATAATTAATATTATGCTATATAACATAATAATTTCTATGTTTTAACATAATAATAATAATAAAATTCTATAAGATAATTAATTATAGTTTATAATATAATAATTTCTAAATTCCAACTATAATATAATTTACAACATAATATCTAAACTCTAATATAATTTATATAATACATAAATATTTGATTATAAAAAAATATAATTTATATATGTTTAAATAATTTAAAAATTATATAATCTATTATTATATATTAAATATGTTACTTACTTAAGTATATATATTAGTTATAATTATAACTAATATAATATATTATAAAATATATACTTTTTAAATATAAAAATGACATTAATATATTAATTTATAAAATTTATTTTTTGATTAAATAATTATATAAACTAATTAATTAAAACAATATACAATTGTTTCAACTTAAATTACAATACTAATTATAATTTCACAAATATCTATCTATATATATATAATTAATTACAAATAACATGTTTATTAAAAATAGCATATTTAATACTAAAAGTAATAAATTATATACCGCCTAAGGAGCGGCTGCAGGCCATAGGCCGGCTGCGCGGTAGCCGGCCGCGACCGTCGGCTGGCGGGGCGAGTTTCAGCCGCGATTAGCGACCAACCAATTTAAAAAAAAAAAATTGAAAAAGGTAGAACTGTATTTTGGGGGGACGGTAAGTACTAATAGGGGGCGGTATTTAGTAACACCCATATAATAGGCTTACTATATAAATTATATATTTAATTAATAGAAAAGAATTATTTTGAAATTAAATTGATTACATAATTTAAATTTTAATAGGAAAGGTAGAAAAAATGATTATATACTAATACTGATGTCACATTCAAGTTCGTGAAAAGATGATCAGTTTAATTTATCTTATATGAAAATTAATAACAAATAAAAAAATACTTTATAATATATATATATATATATATATATATATATATAAAAGT